TTCATATTGTAATCAACAGAAGTATGTTAGTTAATTAGATAGTTTTTCATAATCCTAAAATTCTTTAAATCCCTTTATATCTCACATTGGTTATCGCTTCCGAGAATTGTTTCTTATAGTCCACGCTCATGTTGCTTGAGGAAACACAATTTTACCTTCCAGAAACTCCACTTCCTCCCATTTTCACCCATTAATATTGTCATCTGCAGTTTCCCATTGTTTCATGTCCTACAGCCTGCAGAGATTTAAATACAAAACCTGCAATCTGGGATTCAAGTCCATTCTAGTATGTGATTGTCAGCTAAGAGACAGAAAATGTAAATGGTCAGTGTTAGATGAGGTTTAGGATGAGAATTGCTCCTTTAGTAACTGCTTGACATTTTAAGTTTCCCTTTAGTTTTCCATCTAGTAAATGAAGTCTTTTATGATTTTCACCTAGTAATTACTAGATTCTTAACTAGTAGTTCCTCAGGGTCCTGGTATTTCTTCCAGATCAACCAGCACAGAGGTATCCTTGCATCCTTAACCTTAAGTATTGGTCTACACAATGTTTGATTGTGATATCAGTTACCATCAGTTAAGAGACTGTGGTTGCCAACTGATACTGAAATTAGTTTCCGATTGTAACTTTGATATTATCATCATGTTCTTTTGCAAGCTTCCAAGAAGAAAGGTCGGTTTAGATATAACATGTAAAATGACACTTTCAGTGGTGGGTAGAAGTGGGCTTAGGCAGCTGTTTATAAAAGTGCACCAAAGTTATCAACATACTTTCTCTGAAATATACCTTTATCTGAATAACATTTTGAATTTAAGAATTTTTGTATGCTTATATATTTGAGTGAGAGATTTCCAGGAAGAAAAAGCACAGAGAAGACTTTCAAGAAAGTACAGTTTGAGACCCATTTATTTCTCTGAAATACTTTTCATATATAGAAGTAATAGGTTGTGTGGAGCTGCTGAAGATCTGCTGTACTCAAATGTATCATGTACTCTGTATTATAAATCCATTGATAATAAAAGGTGTAAAAGTTTTGTGAACCCAAGATCTAGAATTCACTTCAGAGAAATGTTTGAAATATTCCATTTTGGAAGTTTAAGTTCAAACAACCACACTGTACTATTGCACTGGGGCATCCTTGTCTAACAACTTCTTACCAACCTCCTGGGGACTCACTGGAATGAAAGACACTCACTCTCTAAGCTTAGAGAGATGATTTTTTTTTTTTTTTTGCCTTGCCCCATGTGTAGTTTAGATGTCATTTGCAGTTGCTGTGTACTGCTAGTTTACTTGAAAAGAATGCTGATTGAAGCCTGAGGAAAAGATAGACCTATATGCTAAAAAAGAGACAAAAGAATTGCTTTGCTGCTCTACTGATATACATCTGTGCTGGCTGCCAAATACTCATTCCCAGTTTGAATTCAAAATTGATCCTTTTAGCCTGTACACAAAAGAACAAAGTCAGATCATGTTTGATCAAGTATATGGTAGTTTTTAATGAATTTTCTTTTTTAAAATTCATCATACTTTAATGTTTTCCAAGACTCAGTGAAAGAAAAACTGAACAGGTTTTCACTGGGGAAGAGGAGAGCTACAACCATGCTTGCTTTTTGAGAATACAGACCAGAGTACAACTGTCTTCAAATATCTCCTGAGAATAACCATAAAAAGAAAAGGGTGCATCACAGTCCGCCACAGCTAACAAATTATTTCATTAACTATAGTGCTCAGCCTGTTAAAGCCTGTTTCATGTGTTTTAAAAAAGCCCATGGTTAGCATTGTCAGAGGTATCCAAAAACTTCAGATTGCTCAGTATTTGGGTGGCTCACATAAGCCTTTTAAGGAGACCTGAGTGTGAAACATATCAACAGCTTTTGGAAAATTAACTGTTTCGGATAGGGCATGAAATTACCAAAAGCATTGATTTTGGAGTTTTATCTGTTATAATAAGTCTATTAAAGGGGTTCTTTTATTGCCTTATATTGTGTCACAGTTTAGGTTGCTTTTCTTGAACATAAAATTTATTCCCTGTTGTTGAATATGAAATAGTTCTGTCATCTATACTAAGGACAGTCAAAGAGCTTTTGACTGTACTACTCATCAAGGCTGCTAGAGTGCCCAGACTGATATTTGTGTGTTATATGAGCCCTAATTGAGTTACTTGGCTTCCAAGATGTGTAGGCATCATCCTCGTGTCGTACGCTTGCCTTTCCTGTTGCCAGATTGCAGATGTAAAGTTTTAATAAGAAAATAGCCTAAAGCTCAGGAGATTATACTTCCCATGCTGATTGGCAAAGATATGCTTAGGATAACGTGCATATGTTGCCCAATACTGGTGTTCAAAAAAAAAAAGATAATTTCTTCTAGAAATTCCTCCTATCTAACCTGAAAAAAAAAGACCCACCAAGAGCTTGTTGCTGTTGTTTTTAAGAAAAAGACATAATCACAGTAAAAACCTTATATAATATAAGCTGCATTCCCCAGCCACACTCCTGTAGTTAAAAAATTAAACCCTAGATCTGTGCAAAACAAAAATGAATGAGGCAAAATGCTCATTGATTTAAATTATACTAATATACCTCATTGTTCCCTTCATTTTTGTTACCCTTTTCATCTGAGTTGTTTAGTTATATGTTATTTGTGACTTATAACAGGTAGCAGCATTTAGACACTACAGAAGTCCTGATCAGTTTTCCCTCCTTCTGTGAGATCTACCAATTGTTCTTTGCATTTAGGTAATTATTTCATTGTAGTTTGAGGTGCCTGTATGTAACCACTGCATATCTTCAAAGGAACCTCCATGGTTTAAGGTACTACAAAACCAACTTTAGACAATTTTCTGTAAAACATTCCAGCCTGGCTGCTGAAGTATGACTTTAGAAATCAAAGTAGGCACCTTGCCTGGAAAAGAATAGCCTAAGAGTGAAAATATTTGTTTTCACATCATGTGCTATTTGAATCAGCTGTTAGTAACTTTTCTGCTCTAAAAAACACACACACACAAAAAAAAAAAAAGATTAAAAAAAAAAAATTGTGATATTTTCTTATTGATTAAATTGTCCTGATAATTACTCAGGATTTACTGTATGTTATTCTTCTGCTGACTACTTCCCCAGCATAGAACGCTATTGTCATCAACAGGCAGATCATCAGCCAAACTCTTCCCTCCACTACCAGATCACACACCAGAAATCCAAAGCACCAGACAGCCAGAGGGAGGAACAAGTCAATGCACTCACCCACCACAGTGGACATGAAGGAAGGAGCAAGCCGCCAAGCCATGGGAGATGGCAGCAGCCAGGCCATGAACCCAATTATATAGCAGGGACTCAGAGACAGGGGACTTCTTGAAGGCTTCAATAGGCTCCTTAGCCAGATAACATGGCTGAAAGCTGCCTCATGATTAATTTCATCTGAATGTGGTAATTATCATACTTTGAAGTAATGCCTGCAAAACATGCTTTCACAGGGGGAAAGCAAAGGATTAACCTAGAAACATTTCAGTTCACAGCAGCATATCACCCAAATAGAAATGTATTTTCCTCCGAATTTTTCAAGACTTTTTATTAGACTACTTGGTAGTCATTTGCATTACCTTATCTCATATCAACTTCTTCACAGCTATTTAGAGAGCAACAGAAACTGAAGCAACTTTGTATTATCAGTAATGAGATAGTCTTGGTTTAGCAAGCTACTTATTTCGGCAGCTTCTGCACTGAAGTATTTCTTGTATTAGTGTTTAAAAGCACTGTTAATTTATCACTCGTATATGTTGTGGGCATAAGCATTAGCCTGCCTATATTCTAGGCACACTGTGGATTATTAGAGAGAATGTTTATTTCCTCATGGGCACCCAGGAGAGTAACTTCTACCACTAATCTAAGCATCTTTTAATGTTCTATCTTACAGGATTTCCGTGAACCATTTCTTAGTTGTACAGTTGAGACTAGTGAAAAAGGTACATAGACCCCCAAGTATGATTACAAAAACGGCCACTTTTTGTACATAGCTAAAAGCCCTGAGGTAGAATAGCATGAAAAATTGTAATGGAAAGAGAAGTTATCACTGAGTGTTCCTGCCTACTTACATCTGCTTAGTAAAGATTCAAAGTCTTCTCTCAGCCATCAGAAAAAAAAGTCCTACCAAAAAAAAGACACAAAAAAGCCACCTGACCTGAAGCAGCTTAGTTAAGTCTCTCTAGTAGACTGCCTAGCCATGCTGTACTTTGATATAGCTGAGTCATTTTAACTTTATTTAAATCAACCAAGGACAGATCTTGCTTAGTCCTACATGGTCCCTAGGTAGGACTGACTTACTTTCTTCAGGTTCATGAGTGACTCCACATTGACTCAGTTATGATAAGAGTCATGCGTGTGCTTTTTTCACAAACATGAAAGAAATGCATTAGCTTGGATTTTAATTCAACATTGTGAAAAATTTGGGAAAGCAGGGACCTTTACTGCAGGCTGGATTGGAGGGATGGCTAAGATTCTCTTTCTTTAGCTGTAAATCTTTCATTTGTTTTGGCAAGTGGGAAATATGTGGGAGCTGGAGTTTTGGCTAGGTGTGACATGGAGACTCCCAAACTAGACCTCAGTTGTGTGGCTGTCAAAAATTACAGGAAGATAATGCATTTCATTACATATCTCTGTACTTAGACTCCTAGCACATCTTCCCTTGCATTTCTGCAACCTGACAACGTGCATGTGGTGAGCAACCATGGCTCAGCCAGTACATAGAAACCATGCTAACCCTACCACACGTTGAATCTCACAGATTACTATATTGAAATTAAACAAAAGTATTCGCATTCACACAGGTTTTGTTGTATTTACACTTCAGGTTAAATTAATGCAACTGTACCATGAAATGAATGGAAGTGAACTGATTTACTGCATCATTCAAACACATTTTGCAACAAGTTTCACCTCTAAACCACACACTGCCATTCTATCTACTTATAACCTTATGTTTTTATGTATGTGTTTTTTTCTTACAGATAAAAAAGATGCTGCTTTGTCCAAAGAACTCAAAAGTAAGAAACTACTGTGCCATCTCTTATATATGTAGTTTCAAAGAGCACATTTCAATAATCCAAAATAATATTTATTGAATTGTTGCTAGTGCAAAGAAGAAAGTATCTACACCATTTATAATTGAAAAATGACATGTTTAGACTTCAGTTGCCTCCTACTTTCTAAATCCTTCCTTATCCTGCTTCTAATTCCACACTCCTCTTTGTGACTGACAGTTTTACCTTCCCCTCTTTTCTATCACTGTCTCCAAAAAAAAAAGTTTAATGGGAAGGAAATGTCAAATGAGATCTCAGTTGAATGTACTCTCAGTGGCAGCAATTTTGGTAAATGGGCTGAGAAGAGCGAGTCCAGCATTCTGAGGTCCACCAAATTTATCTTCACAAATGCAAAACAAAGGCCCTGCCTATCTAGCTACTTCAGATACACTCAGGAAAATAATACTTAGTAAATTTTTCAAGGTTTTCTACATATTTCCCTGAAGGAGGGGTGAGCACTGTACGTAATTACAATACTGTGATAACTAAGTTAAGATATAATTATCTGCTGCAGGCTTTTAAATAGACGGAAACAAAACAATCCAACACACGCAAACTATAGTTTGTTTTCATTCTGTTTCACAGGACAGTCTGACACATCTTTTATGAACTCAAAAGACTGAGGAGGAAAAACTCAAAATTACATTCCTGATTTAGCCATATTCTTTTTTCTTTGTAATAACACAGTGACAGATGTGAAGGATTAACTATTTTTATGCATTCTGTAATTCAGATTGTGATTAAAATGATTAATTATTTCCTCTCACAATGTGGAGATGTGAATTTTAAGCTAGAGGATTTGCTAACCAATGTTAAAAATCCGTTATGAAAATCAGTGGAGTTTAGCTTATGGATATTTGTTTTTTTTTTTTGTAAAATACAGTAAGTTTTAGTATTTCCTAAGAAAAAAAAAGCAATTAATTAAACAATAGTAAAGAGTAAATAAATTCAATAAGCTAGCTAGGTTCTTCTCTCCAGGACTGAGAGTCTTCAAGCCTACTTTAGGATGCATATACCCTTCATCATTGGGCCTTCATTCTCCAAGCAAATGTTCCACCTCAGCAAAGAAAGGACAGTGCAATTGTTTCATGAAAAGACCAAGAACTATATTTAAGTGGACAGAGAAAGTCTGTTTCTCTCCTAGAACCCAACAGTTCTTCCAAGCACATGATCAAACATGGTAATACTTCTCCATTCCTCAGGGTGGAGAGAGATTGCCAGTGTAGCCGTGTCTCTGAATGTACTTTGCAGGAGTAGCCCAATTTCACCTTTTCTCATCCATGATAGATTCAGATTAGGAGCAAGGATGCCACCCTGAAGAGCTGTGGGATCCAGAGCAATGAATCCTCTCCAGCTGCAATAGGCTGGCTCAGGATGTTCAGCTCTGATAGCTGCAAGATCCCAGTCCATAGCTGCTGCCTGAGGGCCAAGGCCATACTCAAATCACTAGACACCTGCTTTGCTCTGTTTTGCCAATAGATATTGAATCACTAAACAGAAAACCTTGAAAGAATTGATTTAGTGCCTAATAGCAAGAGCTGACTAACCCTTCAGATAGCTATTTTGATGGTGCCTTTGAGTTTATTGTAGGTAATTAAGATCTTTTCTCTTTGGGTGATCTCTTTGTCTAATTCTTCAGTGAAAAAATTGCTCCAGGCTGTTTCCTCTGGTTTCCGTCTTTTTTAAATGCTTTGTAGTAATTGGTTTAATTTTTTTCTCTTTCTTTGTTTTCTAAGAGACAGGAAAAGTTCCTGCAGCCAAACCAGCTACCAAAAAAGCAGCAACACCAGGTAAAGGGGTAAAATGTTCACATTCAGTGTTTTTTTTTAATTCTTGGACCAGTTTACTGCAGCATAGCACCATCTGCTGGATTATACAAAAGCCACTGTTTTGGGGGTCTTTGATTGCTCTAAATTACTGTGATAATGTGCATGGGAGATTTTTGCTAAGAACAAAAGTATTTTGCATTGATCTCTAATGTTATGGTTGCTTCTTGCCCTCCCATGGCAACTATCAGATGCCATTCTGCAGGGCCTGAGATAAAAATAAAAAAAAAATGAACCCAAACATAAAGATTGATTCTAAAAGCAGTATTTAAATAAATGAGTTTCAAGGGGATGTGATTTTAAGTGCTGATCTCACAGGATATTTTAAAAAAATGGAAGTTTTAGATAACCATAAATATGCACTGAGAAGAAAAGCAGACTTTTTAAAAATAAATAATAGTGTAATTTCCTAACTGAATTTAGACTGGATTGTAAAAAATATACTTTTTATTGATTACTTATGTCTTCTGCTTCTCCCATCTTCAAAAATGCCATATCATATTTCTCCTTAATTTAAATTTAATTTAAATTGCAATTAGTAACAATCTAGATAGTCAGGATATTTGTAGTTCTATTACACTTTTTAAAAATAATGATTATTAATTAGCTAACAAAAAAAAAAAAAAAAGTGAAAATGTGATCAATGTAAAACCATAATGTTATCCTGCTCTAAAGTATGGCAGCCAGTGGTGCACAAGGCTCCGTGCTGACGAGCAGTGCCTCGTGCTGGCGTCACAGGCACGGCCAGCCTGCTCCCTCTGATGCTTCTTGCCTACAGCTGATCATGCTGTGTGTGGCTATGTGCCTCTACATGGATCTGGGATCGTCTTTTTTTCTCCTTTTTTTCTTTCCTTACTCTTGTTTTCTGTCTGTCTGTCTTTAATTCAGACCTTTGAATCTCAGAGGTCTCCTCTACCAAATAAGAGAGTGATAAATTACATCAGTTAGGGGAGACTGAGAATTAGGCAAGGATCAGTGCAAGCCAGGAACATCTTCAGTTGCCTCTACCACAAAAGGACTTGCAGCTTGAAATTACAGTCTATACAGGCTGTCGTAGGGCATGTTGTACAGCTGTACGATACAATGTGTGAATCTGGCCTAAGAATCACCATTTCCCCTCCAATGCCTCCAGTCCCTGCCTGCTGTGGTTTTTTGATGCTGTGTCCAGTTGTGTTAACACAACTGGAAGAACAGTGTAAACCACATCATTGCCATGGCTTAGAGCTAAAAACTGTCCTAGAAATGTGTGTGTGTGTGGCGGGGTGTTCAGTCTGGATTATTTCCATAAATCTAGTTCCACAAACATCTATATCCTTGTAACTGATAATTTCTTAAAGCAGCTTTCTTGCAAAAGTGTGTTGTATAGGTAGACCCTTAGATGTCTCAACAGAACACTGCAGAAATCATTATGTTAGAACCATACGTTTATAATTAATTCATTCCACCTGTTTGCCTCCAATGTTTGTTTTCATGTTTGAAAAATATTCCAATGAGTCTGCTTGTTGGCAAGAATAGTTATGACAGTACTCTATTTAAGATTAAAAAAAGTAAGACAAGGGAAATTGGCATGGCTTCTGATAGAAAAATAAAATTAGTTCATCTGTTCTGGCACATTTTTTAATATCTAGGTTGCCTTAAAAGTGATAAAGAGCAGTAGGCTTTGACTTCTACATTTTTGTTTCCCCCAGAATAACTCACCATAGCAAAATATTAAATATGCTTGTTTGGCAACATCACAACTAGACTGTTGCCTATTAGCACAGTAAATTAAATACATTATCCAATTTCATATTTCATTTTCTTCCACATATCTTATTACATCACAACCTGTACTCCAGAATTACTAAAGCTGAAGATTTAGTCATATTAACAGACTGAACAGACTGAGAGCACAGCTGGTCATCTTCCAGTGCTTCCACATCACATATGTTCCTGGTCTTCATGTCAGAGGTGAATAAGAGTCTGCCTAATATACTGTTCAGTGTTTTTGTCTCCATATTTTTGTACAGAGAAAGGAAAGAAAGTCAATGTGAAATTTGGAAGTCTATGAGAGCCTCTGCATCTGGAAACTGATGGATGCTCTAGGAAACCAACACGAATGAATATCTGATACTTGATTTTCAAAATGGATATTTTCAAATGTGGTATATCTTGGAAGAAATCAACTCTCTGGCAGCCATTGAAACTGAGTTGGAGAGTGTAGTATTTGGCTTTAAAGCAGAAGTTTTATAGATATATACAAGTGATGCTAATCTGAAGGGCGAAAACAGAGCTGAAGATATTTCATGACACTAGTCTCCTTCAGTTATACTTTCTTAGGATGTCCCCATCCCAAACCTCACTTCCATTTCCTCTTATTTCACTGCGGCTCATCCCCTTCCCAGCTGTGCCAGCAGAATAGGTCTGAGAGAGACCTGGCCTTACCAAATACGTCCACTGTTTTTCAATGAGGAAGGGAGCAGGTTCCTTTCCTGGGATTTCCTCAGGCACTCCGTGTGTTCTCTGGACGGTCTCTCAGAGCCAGGGGTGTAGGTGCTGAGCCCCTGCATTATCCTGCCTTCCCTGACAGGTGGCTGGGAGGGAAACCTCCTCTTCACCCTCATCCATGCAGATCCTCACCTGGGAAGATCATCCACACCATGCTGCATAATCCACCCCGCAGCTATCACTAACTCTGTGAGATCAGCGAGTCAGGTGCCAGCGGTGGGGCACACAGATACATCACACCTCACACTGGTATATTTGCTGTGTTCATTTTGCCACCATGAGGAAAGGAAACTCATGGTGGGGCAAGGCAGGGCAGGCAGTACGGGTTCAAACCATGCAGGGAGTGTTTGCAATGAAATTAACTGAAGGGTGACATGGTTCCCCAGCAAGTAGTCAAGTACCTCAGTGCCACTGAGTCCTGCATGCTCTCTAGGGTCAGGGATGAGAACAGCACCTCTGTAAGTCCTTCTCATGGCATAACCTCACATTATAGGTAATACTCCCACACCTTCTTTAAGCACCAGTGATAATGCTTTCCCCTGATGATTTGCCCAGTTTAAAAATCAGATCTCTTTTCAACATTGTAAAAGTTAAATCCTAATTGCATCTTGGAATTTTCCTGAAATGGTCTTGTAATTTTTAATTTAATTTTACAGTATGTTTAACAGTTTTTGTACTGTCATTTAACTGCCTAATTACTGATTTTTAATGCCTAATTTTTTCCCATCTTCCTCTCCACACACGCAAAAAAAAAAAAAAAAATCTTATTCCTTGCTCCCTTTAGGTTCACAACCGCAACTCTTTTTAAGCACCATTTACTTAATGAAAGTCTATGAAATTTAGTTTGGAGCCAGAAAGAATAAAATAAGTAAGACAGAAAAAAAGCCACTTTTAAGTAAGTGCTCAGATGTCAGCTGCACCCAATCTCTCAAACTGACTCTGTAAGTTTTGCTAGTTATTCTGTTATTCTTCTTGTTTTTCCACTGTTGATGAGAGGCAGAAATAAAAAATAATAATAGTTTTTAAGAAGGACGTTATACAGGAATGACGTATGAGGTAAGTACAGAATATTAGAACACAGGCTATACTGAAAAAATGTGTACAGAGGATTGGCTGAAGTGGTTCAGAACAGTGTTTAATGCAGGAAAAACTACTAGTTCTACTGGTAATGGGCAGTATTTACTTAACGGACAAGTTATTGCATATGAACTATATATACTCGGTTCAAGGTGAACATAGCAAATAAAATGGCAGCAGGGATGAATCTTGTACTTGCCATATGTTACAACCAGTGCTATTCACCTTAGAAAGAAAGAAATAACAGAAAGTTTATGGGACAGCAGGTATGCTTTGAAATTGAAGAAAAGTTTATTAAGGAAGCTGGACACGTTTTTCTTCTGATGGTCACCTACAGGACACAAATATGTAGGAAGAATGCCAAAACTATGTAAATATTAGAGAAGAATAATAAAATTCAACACATCTACTTAATAATTTACCAACACAGTGGAATAGGCAAAAATTTCATGGACTCTTTTTCAGGTTACTCACAGTTATGTAACTCTCTCAAGTCACATGTCAGGAATCTATTTTATAGAATCATAGAATTATTTTGGTGGGAAGGGACCTTCAAGATCATCAAGTCCAATTGTTAACCTGACATTGTCAGGTCACCACTAAACCATCTATAGGTCTTTTAAATACCTCCTGGGATGGTGACTCCACCATTTCCCTGGGCAGCCTCTTCTAGTGCTTTAGAATCCCTTCTGTGAAGAAAGTTTTCCTAATGACCAACCTAAGCCTCCCTTGTGCAATTTGAGGCTGTTTCCTCTTGGTCTATTGTTTGTTACTTAAGAGAAAAGAATGACCCCCCACCTTGATACAACCTCCTATATGGTGGTGGTAGAGAGTGATGTCTCCCTTCAGCCTCCTCTTTTACAGGCTAAAAAACTCTAGTTACTTCAGCTGCTCCTAATAAGACTTGTGCTCTAGATGGCCCACCAGCTATATTGCCCTTCTTTGGACAGGCTCCAGCACTGAATGTTCTTGTAGTGAGGGGCCCAAAACTGAACATAGTGTTCAAGGTGCGGCATCACTAGTGCTGAGTACAGAGGTATAATCACTTCCCTAGTCCTGCTGGCCACACTTGTTCTACTTTACTCGCAACACCACAACCCCTGTGTCATCCATCCACGTACTTATTCTCATCTTGTATAGATTTATTCTCCAGGAGAAGAGATGTCAAAAAACAGTGTAAATTTTATGTCAGACATCTCCACATAAGTACTTTAGGAAAGAGGAAAAAGAAAGGAGCTTTTTGTTTCTTTCTCTCTTACCACATGTGGACACAGCCCTAGCAGAGTTTGCTGTCCTGCAACCTCTTCAGGATCTTATGTCTGAGTGCCTATATGTGCCCTGAAATTCCTCTTTACAAGCAACCACTGCCTCTGGTTATCATCTCTGCATGCATTTCTGTGGTACAGGTGTTACCAAGAAAATTTTTCTGGTAGATAGAATAGTCTGTTCAGTTTTCTTGTCCCTGAACTTAACCCTTGTGTTATGTTTTTCATAACACAAGCAGGTTTATTTTCAGGATTTATCTCAGGGTTTATTTTCTGGATTTACAGTTTAACTCTTCAGGAAAAATGACAGAAATGCCTTATTTCATGCATAAACTACCTGAGTGAAGATAGGCTTTGTAGTAGCTTTGTAGTTTATTTCTAGATGAAATAAATCTTCACTCAGGTAGCAGGTGTTTATGCAGGAGTAAACAAAATAATGAAACCCTACCTGTATTAATCCTGTTGCTCAGTATTCTTGAGTTTAGATCCAGGATCATTCTGTAGTCTTTTCAATCACAGAGGCTTTCTTTTTGGTCCAGATTAGCATAATTCTTTCTCTCTCCCACCTTAACAATTTGGGAAGTTAAATGTCATATCTTCTCTGACTTACACAGTTTGTGGTTTTAAAGGCAGAGTTACACTCTTGTCTGTCTTTGCACAGTAGGTGGGAATTATCTGATCTCAGTCCCCAGCAGCCTGCAGAAGGATAGGAGAAATGCAGTCTTGGTCCTCACCTGTTTGTCCCAGAGAGCTTCCACTAGGCTTAGTGAAGCATCACAGCTGACTCTGCTCCTAGTCTGCCAGGAATGCACTGTACTCTCAGCAGCTAAATCCTGGCTGCTATTGCAGTAGTCCATCAGTCAGCCAATTCTTAATATCTGCAGGAAACTAATATGTGGATGGAGACAAATTCCACAAATCATTCCAACACAC